TTAATAGTTAATGAGCTATTATTAATTGGTTTAGCTGTTGTATGTAATACTGGTAATACTGGTGGACCTGCCATTAAATAATAATGATTGTATAATACACAATAATATCTAACCTGACAAAGTAATATTTGAATATATATAGCTAGCACCAACCATATCTGTACAACCAATCATAGTTCCATTCAATGATACATTTACTGATTTATTAGTAGCAGTAGCTGTTATCATACTACCATTAACAGCAGTAACACTGACATTGAGACTGTCTATCACAACAGGTTGAGTAAGATGAGTTAGTTCAGTTTCTGCTCCATTATCTGCTTTCCAAACTACTACACCAGTATCAGTTGTACAAGTCAGTTCTACTCTGTCACCAGAACATGGTAGTATACCAGTATCAGGAACTGTTTGACCATAGTGTAATACAGCTAGATACATGCAGCTATGATAGTATCATGTTAAAAATTAGAAATAACTTACAAGATTTACCAAAACTCATGCATCCAGTCAATATAAGACACAGGTACATACCAGTAGCAGTAGCCATTAGTGTAAGAGAAATGAGAACTGAACAATCTGTACTATAAACAATAAACTGTTTATTGTATATATTATAGGATTATTATTGCATTAACTCCACCCATGCATGCATACACATTGTGTACATCATAAACAACAATGCATGTGGATTTACTTTTAATACAATGCCATAATAATTACATAATACTACATCATTATTTGTCCATATGCATCATTATTATGTACATTAATTATATCTTCATTAATAACATCATAAGCAGTATTAGCCTGTAGTTCCATTGGTGTATCATATATTGGTACTTCAGTAGTAGTAGTTGGTGTAACAATGATCTCATCATAAGTCACTACTGCATCAGCCCTATAAGTTTGATAATAATAATACATAAATATAACAACTTGCTTTTTAGATACTTCATTGTTACCTTTATAAAATCAATAAATATACAAAATCATTAAAATATTTATTACTTTTTTGTTTCTTGATTGCTATTGTTATTGCAATCAGTATAATAATCAATAATATTATTCCTCCAATAGCTCCAGCCATAATAGGAGCAGCATTAGAACCACTGGCAGAGTCAGTAGTAATAGTAATAGTAGTATTAGTAGTAGTTGATTGTGTGCTAGTAGATGTAGCTGTAGGAGTGACTTCAATGGTGGTGGCTGTGCAATAAACAAGTAGTAAATAGTACATAACAAATAGTAGAGGGACTTACCATTAGGAGTAGTACTTCCTGTCACTGATTCTGTTACCTGATGAGATGACATAACACTCAATGTCTCCATAGTCACACTCAATAATGGGACACTAGTAACTGATAATGGGACACAAGCAACTGATGTATCTGATACTGCTACTGCTGTTGTTGTTGCTGTTGGTTCTATTGTAGTGCTCATTGGAGTATTATTAGTAGGAGTACTGGTGGCTGCTGTAGTAGTAGTAGTTGTTGTTGCTGTTGTTGTTGTTGTTAATGAAATGTTTGCTATACTAGTGATATCAGAAGTGACAGTTATCATTTGGCCACTATTGCCAGTAACAGAATATTGGGAATACATCTAATTGATAATGATGTTAATGATAATAAAATCATTAATAATTGTACCTGTATTAGTATGAATGGAGAGTGACCATGTACATATATAGTAATGGGGGCTATACTTTGACCTGTGAACGTCTGTAAGTTAAATAAAATAAACTGAATTAGTAATAGCACAAACTATATACTTACATCATTGTCTCCTGCAGTCACGTTGCTAACAACTGATGGAGCATGCTGACTAATAAAGTCTCCAATGAAATTCAAATAATATTTAATCAGTTGATTATTATCATCACCATCATCAATAGTCCATGATACAGTCAATGAGGTGATGGTTACTATGAAAGAAGAAGGTATAGGGTAAGTAGTATAGACACTGTTGGTTAGTAATGAATCAACTGGAGTGGGAGGAGGGGGAGGGTATAGGAACACAGTGTCTCTTTTGTTACTAGACACACCAGCTGGGAACTGAGTCCAACTCATAGTCACCTAGTAGTTATTATTATTATAGTTTATAAATAGCAAAAACATTTACTAGATAATCAGCTTTTAAGTGGTTACTAATAGGACGTCTATTGTAATCAGTATATTGAAACTGAGTTACATTTTGATGTCCTGTTCCACTCTACATAAGAAAATGGTAAAAATATTAATAATAATTTATAGCTTACACTTACATTAGCATTAACCTGTGCTACGTCAATGTGTGATTGTGTATTTCCATTTGATTTTAAAGAAACTTCAAATGTGATCCAAAAATGATGAAGGCTACCAATAATGTCATTGGAGACATTGAAATCAATATGGACAGTGAATGATTGATCAGTTCCATTCCACTGAGGAGTGCAGTGTAGAGCTAATGGAGGAACATCTATGGGCCATTAATGAAGGGAATGAATCAACCTTGACATTACTTACCTCTTTTACTAATAGAGTGACCATCAGTAGCTGATCCACATATTGTAATTATACAAACTGAAATGAACAAGAACATATTGTCCAGTCTTATCTACACAGTCTTCCAATAGACAGAGAAGAGACTAAACCAGTTCCTAACAGACAGTAATCAGCAGTATATACAGTTGAGGTGGAGACTAAAGCAGTCAGTGATTAGCAGTAGTCAGCAGGTAATGATACTCAGGGCTGAAGGTGCTACAGTGGTGAGGGAAGGCTGCAAGGGCTGCTGATAGTGAATGTGGTCAGTCTATATATCTACACCTTTACATTTTATGGCTTCAGCTTCAGTTCAAATAATAATTTGTTTTTCTAAATAACAAAAATAAGTAACAACAGTAATAATCAATATTTTCAATGTTTGTACGGACGACTGGAGAGTAAATGTAGTCTTGAAGGTGTGTCAGTTGGAGGGGGTGTGGCTAGTAAAGGAGGAGATCTGACATTGTACGGTAATACACCGAGGGAATGAGATGAATAAACTGCTGAAACTGGTACTGGAATGAAACCAGCACTAGCACTGGTGGGTGTAGCTCCTCCAGTGGGTGTGGTTCTAACAATGGGTGTGGTCCCTCCAGTGGGTGTGGCTTCATGTTTCTTGAGTAGTTCGTTAACAACAGACAGTTCAATCTTGTGTTGTATGGTCCCATTTCTGCGT